GCAAAAGCAAAATATATCACGATCTGTTCGACCCAAGTAGAACAAAAAATTCGCCTTGCTTATCGCATTCGTCATCATAACGAACTACTAGGCATCCTATTAAATCAACAAATACACAGATACTGCTACCTGAAGCTGACAAAAAATCTTCCTTCACTAACAAAACGATTTCGTCATTCAAACGAAAATCATCCTCAAACAACAAAGAACGGATCGTGTATCACAATCGTCCCTGACAAACAAGATCACGATATTCACAATCTCACGTTATCACCAATACAAACAACCTACCTTTCTTCTTCAAACGATGGCTTTGAGGTACAATTGCACGTGACGTCTGAGACTCACGATGCGGAATGTAGTAGTCAAAATTCACTTGAACAATCAAAACTTTCGGTATGTGCTACCTCCTATTTAAGGAGCAAGCAGACAATGAAAAGATCATTTTTCATTTTCTTGTGGTTCATATTCTTCGTTTCCCCTTTAGATATGTTTAAATGAAAGAAAACGCCATGTTGAATCGAGTACGGACAAATATGCAATGTACGCAAATAATAGTCATGCGTTTAACTCTATTTTAGCTGAAGAATCAAGTGATCCCACTTCACTGAGAAGAATAGAAACATCGTCAATATCTTCGTCAAATATCCTTGAAGATACACGTATTCAAAATCAAATTAGATCAGTGAAAACACCAAAGTCTTACAGATTTTCATCGATATCATGCAAAAAAACACCAACACTGAGAACTTTTGGTGATAAAGGATACGAACAGGTATACATTGAGGATAATCTACGGTGGTTGTTGTTGTTTTATGTCTTTCTTTCTAGAAATTTCTGAGAAGAGTGTCATCAAGCAGAAATAAACGTCGTGCAGAAAGAAAACCGTTACATGACGCTGATTATCCTCGTTTACTTGATGATACTCAAACGACACAATTATATAGTGATCCATTTGAAGAATTATGCGGTTGGCTACTCTCTTTGTTAGAAACGGGCATATTAATACCCATGGTCGAAGTAAAAAATACGTACATTACCATTCTTCAGCGATGGAAGCCACAAATAACACAAAAGCTACAGTACGACAATCAAGAGTTCGTGCACGTTTAGAGACGACGTACGGCGATCGATTACATTTTACAACAATAAATAGATCTAGTGGCACTTTCATCGGTCTCAATAATTTGTCGTTTTATACGCATCGGGCACTCTCAATGTCATTAAACAATAACTACTTAGAAAAAACGTATTTACAAGAAAAAGATGATCGTAGTGAACAAAATAAATGTGAATCGTTATTTGACACCATTAAATTAATATGTCAGTCTATCAACGATAATTACCATTATTTTAAGAAACTAAAAGAAAATCCTAACATATTAACAGATTTTAATTCAAGTTTATTTTGGAATTGTGTACCTGTACTATTGAAAAATTTAATCGGCTCAGTGACATTAAATGAACGTCAATTTGAAGAACTGAAATGCGATCACATGTATTATGATCTACTCAACAAAGACATGTAAGTACATGTATTCATCTCTTTCAAAGAAAGGTGTCTTATTATTAATTATTTTAGATTTAAATCATCGAGCAAGTGGTTGAAGATTTCATCGATTTCATACGACATTATCAACTGCAAAAATGATACTTATTTGACACCTAAACATTATTTGCTGGGCAATGAATTATTTCGTCACGAACGCTCATCACAATTACTATCAATAACAAACCGATTGGGACATTCGTGTGGGTACAAACAATTGTGCGTTTACATCATCGAATGGCTGAGAGAACGAAAAGGTATTCGACAACAATGAAACTTCGACATTCGTTCGGTATCAAAATTGCAGATAATTTCGATTTGAATAAAGAATCATTACATGGTGAAAACAGTATACATATTATGAACCAAATTATTGTGCAAAACCCAGTGAATGACGAAATAATTGCAAATGTTAATGATTGTTTATCAAAATTAGTGGATGATGCTGTCTCACAATCGGTAGAATTGCACGGAATGCCGAATGCTTCTGATGCGGTGACTTTAGCATCTAATTACTCCACAACACGATCAAAAATGTCCGGATATCATCCATATACTGACACTTCGTTCAATCAAATCTTACTTGGTTATGTTTTATCAAAATATGTATGTGATAACAACAACAATTTCAACAAAACAATTCATCATCGATCACCTATTCGTTTACCGTTACTGTCAGGATTTTGTGCCACATCTTCCTTCCCAACAACGACCGTTACACTCTATCACTTTTCAGACACCGATCAACGATGACCCTAGTTCACTATCGGCAGCCGATACGTGTCTTCGAACGACTAAAGAAGTGTTTATCGATTCAGGTCATCAAAGAGAAGCAATTGTGGTGGTTGATGAGAAAATCTACCGAAATTGTATTAGAGTAATTATTTGTATGAGGATCTCTGTTCTAATTTTCGTTTTTCTGTCTCCACTTTAGGCGAAACAAAACAATCCAATAGATTATCAGTTGATAACGATATATCCTGGTGATTTTCATTTAATGAAGAATTTAATGATTGTTATTTGGGATGTACTGGACGGTTCAGGAATTGAAGTGAGTATTTTGTTTATCTTGAACTCTTTTGACTTAACTGTTTTTGAATACTTTAGGATGTTTTTAGTTTTCTTTACAAAGGTGCATCCCTTCGATCAATTCTCAATGTCCATCATTTTAACAAGTCTCTCAGATGTATCAAATTGTTATATACAGCATTATCACTATTACTCTTCGATTCGTTTATTATAACAACAACTGAACCGCAAACATCATCTGCATCTTCGTTCTCATCAACAATCACTTCGACAACATTAACATCGTATTCTATTATGGAAAAACTTAAAACAAACTTATTAAACATTCCATCCGATTACTCTAAAACAAGAATGGTTTAAACAATTAATGAATGAAATGAACGCGATACAATTGTCAGACATTTTTGAGATATGGGCAAAGAAAACGCCTCAGCAATGCATTTCATTTAAATTTTGATGTTTTGTTCTTCAACGTCTGTTACATCCGTTTATTACTTTATACATGTCAATACGTACATCAAACTTTAACGCAAGAAATGCATCATTATCAAATGTTGCACCTATTTTTTTTGGCAATAATCATCGAAATTATGCTCGGCTTTGTGCAAATCATTTGATTGACCAACGTTCATGTAGTCTTATTTATTTAACCAATTATCAAACGGATTTGCTGTGAATAGAACAAACCGTGCATTTTCGAGTAAGATTATTGATAGAAATCGGTTTGATTTTCATTTTTTAGATATCGCACTTGATCAAACAATCGAGTGTAGTATAAACAAATTTGGGAAAGGACATGGTGGTATTTCTCGACGTTTCTCACATGATCTTATTGATGAATGGGTCAATACATTTGCATATCGAGCATTATTAACAAAGCAACTCACGAAATTTGTCAAGTGGAAACAACAAACAACACCATTGATTCCCACGTAGAATGTGCACCAAATAGACAAGTCGTGGACAATGACTATTTAACAACGATCTTAACTAAGCTAAAAGCAGAAAAATTATTCGCAATCGATAGTCAACATTGTCGAAAAATATTATCTGGGAAGATCATCCACAACGATATTATTGAAAATATTTATTCATCATTTGAACGTGGACTCGAAGCTTTAAAAACTTACATCGAAGAACGTCTTTTACTCAAAGTGGTACCAATTGATCAACCACTGAAAGCAATGGTTCGATTGAGTAAATACATTTTTATCTCAAATGTTAAATTATCTTATTTTTCTTTTCTTCTTAGGAATTCGTGACACCGACATTTATGTTCCTGGTGCTTCTGCTCAAAGACAAAAAACAAAAACAAACAATATCTCGAATATGAGCAAATTAATTGAAGAAAGTGGATGACGATATTGGTCAAATGATAATTCTCGCTGAAGACCGACAATTATCGTTGCCATCATTGTTTGCTCATGAATTTACCAAAGCACCTTTATCATTATGTGACAAGGACGACTTTGAGTTATTAAATCAACAAAAGAAGTCTGCCGTCATTGATTATTTGAAAGAACAGTTTTCATCATCATTCTCAACGTCCTGCCCAATAACAAGTAAGCACCTTAAACTGACTCTGATCTACATAACGCTTCTTTTTACTGTTTAGCTGATCGATGTGTATTGATTATTGATGGGAGAAGCTTGTTAGAAATAAAGCCAATTGGTCATTCTGCAACTGTCCGTGATTATGCCATTCAATTATTACAAACTAGAATTAATTGTCTATTTCGAAAGTATGATCGTATTGATATCGTGTTTGATACACCTGGAAACAAGAAGGAAAAAGCATTTATAGAACGACATGGCAACGAAAGTGAAACCTGTAATTATGATTTAAAATCAGACGATGTATTAGAAACAAAATATCATCATTTCGTCAGCAACAATAGAGCGGTATTAGCTGAACGTATTCGTGAATGTTGGTGTGAACCTGCAGTGGTACAATTGCTACCGGAAAGCAAGATTCTGGTAGCGGCAGGGCCAACTGAAACGGCAACTATGCTGAAGAAAAATTTACCACCGTAATTAGATTATATGCTCTACTCAAATCATGTTGAAGCCGACACTCGCTTATTGTGGCACGCTCATGTGCTAGCAATTGATGAATTCAAAAACGCCGTTATTCAAGCAAGTGATACGGATGTGGTGCTTTTATCCATTGCTTATGGGAAGTCAACCGGGTTAGAATCATTACTTGTTAAATCTTTCAATACCACGAAGAAAACTGACATTTATATTGACTCAATTCGTATTGCAAGTGAAATAAGAAGAAAATTCCAAATTGAACCATTTGTGCTGCTAATACTGCACGCTCTTTCAGGATGCGATACAACATCATTTATTAGAAATGTTACAAAAATGAAATTATATAAAAATAGATATAATTTCCAATTATATAAATAGATATTTTTCCATAAAATGTAGATGTGGAAAGAATGGATTCAAGTGTACAATTTATTGTCAGGTGAATGATCTTTGTTGTGATTTTACTAAAGTTTGTATTTTTGTTGTTGTTTTTCTAGAATAACGAATCTGATTCTGAAGACGATGATTATTTACAACAAACTGAACCTAATCGTGAACAAACAACAAACTTTATAACAGATGATTGGTATCTAGAAAAGGACAGTGTTGCTGAACATATGGAGCACAGTTATTGTAAAAGTAGTACGGAAGATGACGAACAGCAAGCTGATTACCATAAACGACGCAGATATGTCATACGAAATGTAAATATTACAGCAATCTATTCGCAAAAATAGATCGTATTTTGTTTCTCCATTTAGGATAAACAACAGAGCTCACCCCAGCAAATATCCATGCCAATACGTGCGCCATTATCCGTGAGGAATAGCACAGAGCAGAATCTTCATGATTCATTTTTTGTAAGTAGGAGAACAAAGTATAGTTCTGATTGATGATGTCTTCTCTTTTCTGCTAGAAAATACCGATGTCCCCCTTAGTTAACTTACAACCATCAGAGTCGACAACCGATACACCACAATTATGTTCGAAATCGAGAAGAAGAATAAAAACATTTGTTTCGTTCGTTAATAAGGAGAATATCCCAATGATCAGCTCCACTTCGGTTGGTATTGAACTATTTTGTATGCTTTTCGAAAGTATTTCTTTTTCTTTCAGAAGCAGTTATCATCAGGTTGTCATCGTCGTAATTACAAACAATACGATATCTTTGCAGACAACAGTGATTCAAATTAGTGAAAAACTAAAAATATTTGACAACTGTTACAAATAGAGATGCACCGGTTACGGTTATAACCGAACAACCGGTACCGGTTATAACCGGTTATCGGTTGTAACCGGTACCGATTGTAACCTATACCGGTTATAACCGGTTATCGGTTGTAATCGGTACCGGTTGTAACCGCTTATCGGTTGTAACCGATAGTTATAATCCGTGTTCTCAGGGAAGTTTTATGACAAATAATTCTAAAATTTCAGCCTTCGTTTTTTATACTTCTTCTATATTTCAAATAAGCAATTAAAGTTGCATTATGCCAAAAAAATTGTTATGCGCTAATATTCGATTAGTTAGCCAATAGACAAACTACGTAAAAAAAGACAGTATAACAAAATATGTTATCTTTTGCTTTCCACTATGAAAACGGTTCTTCCATAACTACTTAGTGTAGATATCGTTAACTTGAAATATACAACACTACAAAAATATCAAAACTCAGCAATGGAGCATATACTGACGTAGAGTATATGCTCGGACCTACTATAGCACACATTCTTCTTTGGATTTCTGAGTTCTGTTTCAAATTATTCAAATTTTCGGTTACAACCGCTCATCGGTTAACCGTAACCGGTGCATCTCTAGTTACAAATGTAAAAAATGCAGAACAGTTTTTTGCATTTAACTTTATTTTCCTTTGTACTCAGCTTTTTTCCCTTTATTGAATAACTTCTATTGTAACAGCTAGCTTTTTTTTTGTTTAATAGTGCGTATGTGAATCATAAATAAACTGTGGTTGAAAAGAACAAACAAACGTATAATCACACGCTATCAAAACTAAAAGTACATGCTTGCATGTTCGATGGATAGATACTTAGCCAAGAGCAGAAAAACATATTTTTGCACAAATCCATCATACACTTTAACAACAATTAGTGTCATTTTGACTTAAAAGAGAAAAATTTGAAAAAAACGCTGGAACTCTTTCCCTTGCCGTCATTATTGAAAGCATTTCCAGCGCTATCCTCCTCCAAGATTCATACTAGGATTAAAATAAGAAACTCAGTTTCAGGAAACTCTGTGAGTGTTATTTAGACAACAGTTGAAGACAAAGATGTTTTAGGCTATTTTCGTCTTCTGGCCAAAGCTAATAAAGAAAATGCATAATGTGGCGCCTCTCAAGTGCATTGGCTTCTAATTGGAAGTTCTGCCAGCATGCGATGTCAAGAGACCACGTACCATTAGGAAACAAACCATAAACAGCAATAGCAAAGCGTACACTCTGCTTTTCTCAGCAAACCGTAAAACAGCATATTTTTAAATTCCAAAACGTATGTACGCTTTGATACAGTGAGTACGCTTTGCTGTTAGAAATAATAAGCTCATATTTCATTTTTTATTTTCCCAGTGCTATGACAGCAGCCATATTGAACGTACTATATGACAAAATTAGGACCAATGAACGACTGCAGTTCTAAGACGGTAAGAAACTGACAATACAGACATGATGGATAATCATAAACGTACAAGTATACGTAACTACTTTGCGCATTTAACGAGAATTAATCTCATTTTATTCGTTTAACGTCACTTAATGTTCGAAATAACATCCTACGTGCTATTCTTAAGGGTTAGTGCGACCGAGAATAAAAATCGCCATCAAGCTACAAAATAGATGGAAAGATAGACCTCTGAGAATTCTTCAGACACGTTTAGTTGAACTGATGCTGCTTTGTAGAGAATTCCGCTTCAACTAAAAGTTCTAAATTTGAAAATAAGCGATATTGTGCGCTGCGGATCAGAGCCGGGCAAGTCAAGTCAAAAATGACTTAAGGGGGGTCCTCCCACCCGTCTTTTTCCACCAGTTGTAGAGGACACCTCGAAGTATATGTCCCAACAAAGCTGTCGGTTTCCGAATTTATAGTTTTTGATAAAAAGAATTTTTCATTTTTTTTCGGGTTTTTTGTCCTATTTTTTAAATTTCAATAAAAACTGAGAACAAAATTAATTACTTAAAACAAGATTGTCAAATTTTCGACTTAACAGACTTGCCGAGCGGCGAAAAATGAATTCTAAAATTTTTAAGGTAGTTCATCTGGTAGCTCGTGAAATTCTCTATCAGATGAAGCATTGCTTGAATTCTTTCGTTGAGTCATTATTTTACAAATGGAACTTTATGCTAGTAGAGTAGGCTAAATTAACGTTAATTAGTACTAATTAGTCAATAACAGGAAGGAAAGAATAAAAATTTTTTTGCATATTTTCTCGTAGAAAATATTCTCCACGCATTTCTCTATCGATCTAGGCAGCAACCAAGTCTTTATGATGAATGGAGAATGGACAGGAATTTTTTTGATAGTAATCCCTGGTTGAAAAATTTGACAATATTTTTTTGAGTAATTAATTTTTTTCTTAGCCACATAATGTCAGTAAGCCGAAAAAACATATATTTCGAAGTGTTCTCTACAAACTGGGAATGTTAGAGCAAAATCTAAGTAGAAGTCTGGTCAAGTCGGGTTATTTTTTACTAGACTTGACTTGATCTGAGAAATTTTTGATGACTCATGACTTGACTTAACCTGACTTGAAAATTTTTTTAAAAGACTTGACTTGACTTGTGACATGGCATTAAAAATCAAGTCAAGTCATGCATATTTTTAAACCGCTTATGCAA